GATGCTTTATAAATTGAACCAAAACCTCCATTTGCAAGATGTTCAACATCGGTAAATCTTTCAAAAGGGATCCATTCGAATTTATAATTGATTTTCGCGCATTTATTTATTAAACTGTCGATATCTTTGTTTTCACTAGACCATTCAACATCAATTCGTTTGTGGTAATCAATAAACGCTTTGCAGTACTCACTTTCTTGACAATTAGTGCATTTACTACAATCATGATAATCCATCACGATCGCATATATTATATATTTAGAAAACAGCACGACCTCAGCCCGTTAACGAAACAACAAATACATGTATTGCATTTGTATAAATGTATTTTAACATTTATATTAACATGCGTTGTGTGAACTGCAACTAAATACGTACATATCGATATATACGTAATAGTTCTTAACGTTAATTCTTTTTTCTTAACCAAAACTGGTTTTTTACTAATACTAACGCTAAATCAAATTGCATTACTGCATATTTTACTTTTATTGCATACTATCGCAGTTTTTCGTTCGAATTTTGAATCGACCGGTCATCAATGTCACCTTCATTTCTTCTTTGCTGGGTTCGTGACTTCCGAGCGCTGTCAAGTAATAAGATACATTTTATATTTTATATTAAGTCCTCGTTTGTTTTTATTTATTATACGAGCGAGATAAATTGAGTGAGCGTAATTTTTATTTCAACCCCTATATAATATAGTCACATCCTCGCTACTTGTTTCATCTATCGTGTACCTCCGAAAATAAGCAATGAGGTAGTGTATTCTCGGAGATATATAGTATATGTTTCTTTGCACAATGATAACTTGTTCACAAATTAACCTTGATTTGTCTAGCATAGAAATTGGCTCTTATTTACTTTAAAAAAAGTTTTATATTAAAAAATAGAAAAAATACGATTTTGTTTGTGTTAGTTGTAGTAGAAGGGACAATGTAAGAACAATGATGTTTATAAATATAAAGAAAGATTAGCTTGCTTATAAAAGCACTTAGAATTCGTAAAGCAAAAAAAGTAAAACAAGCAAAAGACATCTTATACTTTATAATAAAAATGAACTCGAATACAAATCAAGAGATATTTTCCTTTACTGATGATATTTATAATCTTCTACGCTATTCTTATTCAGTCGATGAAGACACTGCTCGCCTTGATGAATTTCACCAAACGGAACAACAACATGATGAATCTGCTAACATTTGGTCCAATTTCATTGAAGGACCCGATCTTCTTATATCGAATGAAAACTTTTTGCTTGATTTAGATTGCAGCTTTAATTCTGAGATTCCAATAGTAGAGGTTGATTTCATACCTTTTTCTGATTTACAGTCTAATCCCTCAATAATTGATAATGAAGAGCTACAGGTTGAGGATATTTCTGAAAATCAACAAGATGAGGACTCTTCAAACACACCACCCGAAAAAAATATTTTTTAGAATTCTATATCTAAGTTCTATTTCTCTCTCTCTCTCTCTCTCTCTCTCTCTGCCTTTCATTGGATTAAGTTTTTAATTAAGGTTCTTTTATTTCTACCATTTCCTCATTTATGCTCTATATTCATGACTTTCGATTGTTTTATAGTCTTTTAAAATGTACTTGATACTGGATTTGTTTCGTTTCTGTCACTTATATACATAGCCTTTCAGTTTCTCTTTGTATCATCAATTTGATTCGTATTGTTTACGCATAGAAATATTGATTACTTGAAATAGGATTTTTTCTTTTAACTTTTTTTCACCTTTCATATAATGTCATATGACTTGCATGAAATTTTCTGCGAAAATATTTATGATTTCAATTTAAGTACTAAGATTCTCAGATTTTTATTCTTTCAACAGCTTGTCTCCATTGTACAGAGAGGTGACAAAAAATTAGGACGATCGTTAAAATCTTGATACTTGAGGATAATATAATAATTAATTTTTTTATTAATATAATAATCTTTTATATGATAATTAAACTTATTCACCAAGTCAAAATTTATAATATAGTAAAATTATATAACATTTTTTATATAAATAAATATTTTATAAGAAATATAAACCAAATTTTATTCATGAACTTTGAGAAATTGATTACAATGTCAAGTTTTAACATTATAAATGCTTATAATAAAAAATGTTCACAAGCTTCTATCCTAGATATTTGTAAAGTTTCATAAAGGTTTGCATATTAATTCATGGAATGTAATACAAAATGTAAAAATTCTTTTCAAGACATATCTATATCTCAATATAAAATAATATATTTGTCATACTATCTTCATTTTCATTAGCTAAGCTTAATAGTTATTCACTATATTTAAAGTTTAAATATATTTTCAGCCAATGAAAATAGCTAATAAAAATGAAGATAGTATAACAAATACATTATTTTATATTGAGATATAGATGTGTCTTGAAAAGGATTTTTACATTTTGTATTACATTTCATGAATTAATATGCAAATCTTTATGAAACTTTACAAATATCTAGAATAGAAGCTTGTAAACATTTTTTATTATAAGCATTTATAATGTTAAAACTTGACATTGTAATCAATTTTTCATTCAAAGTTCATGAATAAAATTTGGTTTATATTTTTTATAAAATATTTATTTATATACAAATTGTTATATAATTTTACTATATTATAAATTTTGATTTGATAAATAAGTTTAATTATTATATAAAAGACTTTATATTAATAAAAAATTAACTATTATAAAACTATATTATTCTCAAGTATCAAGATTTTAATAATTATCCTAATTTTTGTTATCTCTCTGTACATATAAATTATTATATAGTTATAATATGTATATAATTTTGAAAAATAAGCATTTTATAATATTATTTCTTTTTATATATAATAATTTTCTAATTTATATCCAGTATATATCATATTTATTTCAAAAAATAATGTTAATTCAAAATTATATATATAATAAATTATAAAAAATAAAAATTTTCAAGTTATGTATATATATTTAAAGTTTATCTTATTTTAAAGCTAATCATTGTATCTTTGAAAAAAATAAAAAGTTATATCACTTTTAAAATAAAAAAACTATTTTAATTATAAAATTAACAAAAAATTTTTTATATGTATTATTATATATATATAATTTAAATTAAATATAGTTTTTTGAAATACTGTATATTGTTACAAGTTTGTTTACTAATTATTAAATTAGTTTATAAACTTAAATCTGAATTGGAAAAGAGTAATAAATTGAAAAAAATATTAAAAAAAGAAGAGTATTTAAGATCTATACCAATTTTTATAAAAATTATATTTAGTTAAAAAAGAAATAATAATATAAGAAAATTGTGAGAAAGTAAAGATTAGAGAAAAAAGAATAAGAAAATGGTAAAAGAAGTTCAAAAAGCTAATTCTCTATATTTATATAAAGCTTTTCAAAGCTAAGTTCTTCTTACAAGTAAGAAATATTTATTAACAATTAAAAATTCAAATATCAAAAATTAATTACTTAAAATTCAATTTCAACAATTTTAATATAGCAATTTGTTTAGTATAATACAATATAAAACTCAATAATCTAATAATAGCAATTTTCTCAGCACAATATGATATAAATTCCAAAGTCAATAACAGTAATTTGCTTAATGTAATACAATATAAAGCCATCAGTAATTTGTTAGATATAATATAATATAAGATCATTTATATATAAGATTTGAAGTATATAAAGAAAATATAAAAGGTAAGAGATATATAAGATTTGAAGTATATAAAGAAAATATGAAAGGTAAGAAATATTTAGAAGAAGATTTTTGTTAAAAGAGATTTTTATTTTCAGTTATAATATATTAAATTAAGATTCAGATAGCATCTCTATTTATATATTTTTCAAAAATATAATTTCAAATAATAATAATTATCTAAAAGATAAAAATATTAATCAAAAAAATATAATAAAATCAAAAGTAAAATAAAAGATAAAATAAAAAGTGAAAAGTAAATAAAACATAAAATAAAAGATAAAAGATAAAATAAAAGATAAAATAAAAGGTAAAAAGTAAAATAAAAGATAAAAAGTAAAATAAAAGGTAAAATAAAAAGTAAATAAAAAATAAAAAGTAAAATAAAAGGTAAAATAAAAAGTAAATAAAAAATAAAAAGTAAAATAAAAGATAAAATAATTTGAGAGAGCTTTATTATTATATGAATATTTTTAAATATTTTATGTTTTTCAACTATTTTTAAAATTAATCATTACTATAACAATATATATATAAATATATATTTATTTATCACAAAGTATTTATTTTTAGAATTATATATATATTATAATGTAAATAATTTAAAGCTATTCATACTATTTTATTGTTAAGTTTTTTGAAGAATAATTATTTTTATATAAAATAGATTATTACTAATAATAAAGAGTTTTTTACTTTTAGAATTAATAATTATATAAGAATATGAAAGAGAATGAATTATAATAAAATAAAATTAGTAAAAGCAAAGATAAATATCTAATAATTATATTAATTTCTATATAGAGCAATAAAGAATTTGAAAGAGTGAAATAATTAAAAAAATTATACTAATTAATGAAATATTAATTATAAAACTATTATATTCATATTCATTAATATTAAATAAGAATATTAATACTAATTAAACTAATAAAAATATTAATTAAACTAATATTCTATTTAAAATTAAGATATTTAATTATATCAAAATAATATAAATATCAAAAAAATTACTTATTTAAAATTGTGATATATAACTAATTCAAATAATATCAAAAATAGTAAATCAAATATTAATATTCAATAATAAATTAAATATTTTATAAAATGTGGGGGATCATGTTGAAATTGGATCATGCTGAATATCACGTGATCCACAAGGATCGGATACGATCCATCCAGTGATCTGCAAGAGTCAGATCATGTAAATTACGATCCATCTGGCGCACCCTTGAAATACACGTGATACACTATGTAACCCTCACCCGAATAAAAAATAGCCAATAAGAATGCATAAATTTTTGATAAACAAATCGACACAAAAAAATGAAAAATGCAAGAAATGTGAAAAATACAAGTAACAACAAATGTCTAAATCTGATTCGGAGTACTAACAAAAAATGTCAGGAAGGCAATTTTACATATAATCTTGTCCTTCACTCTAACCCATACCCTAACCTGAACGATAAATAGCCTTTAACGTTACGATAAATAGTCTTTAACGTTACGATAAATAGTCTTTAACGTTAATTTTCTGTACTCACGTGAGCGTGATTTTTTGTTGGCGCGGCAAAGAATACATACAGATGCCTAATTAGAAACATGCATGAATTTTATTATTTCTCATGCACTAAACAAATATAAACAAGACAATAAGGAAAAAAAGAAATTTTTAAGGAAAGCATTATAATTAAATGTTATCACATCCTTAAAAATTCTCAATAAAATGAAACAGTTAAAAAAAAAACGAATCTCCATAAAAAAAATTAAAAAAAAAATGAATCTTAATAAAAAAAAATCGAATGATACCACGAACATTAACACCAGGTCGCAGGATTTCTATCTTATAATCTTGACTCACGTAACAGGAACTCGAACCTTTTTGCCGTTTACTTCAATGATCGCAGTATGATTGTTGGATGTTAGCATCTTAAACACGTCTCGTTGAGAGAATGTCAGCTGCAATTTTCGTTTCCGAGTCTGTGTGTTCATATCATGATCTGGTACAATGGCAATTGCAGTTCTGACTTCAATCATATTATTCGCTGTTTTTTTTTTATGAACACTGCCTTTCTGACTTTTTTTTGTTCGATATTCCTCTAGCGAAGCATTCACGGATTGTTGAACTTTCAGCATTTGCGAAATATGTTTTTCCATGGCAGCTTCAAATGTAATTACGACATCACTATTTTCTTCGGACGCAGCAGCTTCAGATATAATTACAACATCGTTATTTTCTTCGGACGCATCTTGTATAATATTGGGAGTAGCATAAACGCAATGCATTTTCCATCCAAACATTGCTTCGTGTGGTGTACGGTTATGCGCTGTGTGAATAATCGAATTATAAGATGCAACAAATGCATCAATGACGTTGATCTTGTGGTAGTTGCGATGATTTGCTTGATCATGAAAACGTACTAATATTAGAGTATGCAGTCCTTCATCGTATTTAGGGATTACGTGGCATTTTTCTGACTTGATTACGCCATCCTTTACAACAGTTGAAATGTAAAGAATTCCATTTTTATCTATTTCGAATTTCTTACAACGGCGGATAAAATTAGATTTCGAGCTGGGTATGGGATTTAGTTGGATATCTTTAGGTACGGTTTTTGACCGAAGATATTTAATGAAAGATTGGTATTCTTCTGCTGTCTCAGGAATCTTTGGAATTGCTGGCATACTAAAAAACTTCAACTGGGTGTTCAGGTGGTGGTGGTGGTGGTGA